TTGCCTAGCATGTAAGGCACTAGGTTTGATTCTCAAGGTTATGAGAATATTGGCTTGCCTCACATGCACAAAGCCCTGGGTTCAATTCCCCAGGACCACAAAAAAAAAAAAAAAAAGCTTATAATAGTAGTAATTAAATATTCTAGAATGGGGTAGTGGCTCAGGAGTAGAGCATTTGCCTAGCATGTAAGGCACTAGGTTTGATTCTCAGCACCACATATAAATAAAATATAGGTCCATTGACTACTAAAACAAATATTTTTAAAAATATTAACTAAGGGGGCTGGGCTGTAGCTCAGTGGTAGAGCACTTGTCTTGCACATGTAAGGTACTAGGTTCAGTACCCATCACCACATAAAAATAAAGATATTGTACCCATAAAATTTTTTTTAATATTAACTAAGATTTTACTCATATAATTTGTCCATATTCTTCTCATTTTGTTACAGGGCCTGAGCAGAGCATTGCCTGATCTCAGGGGAAGAGTTACCTGTTTGGGTCCCCACCAAACAAACAATCACATAAATGTCCAGTGTTTACAGAACTGTCCTGGAGAACCACAAACCTGAAGGACCTTTAACCCTGCCCCAGAGACAGTGACACCACCTCACCCCTTATCCCCTGACCCCATCCCCCCCACACAGAGATTCAAGATTCACAGTCTTTGGCTATTTATTTGCACTGGAAGTCACTCATTAGACTAACCTGAGTTCCTCACACTATTTTAAACCCTGTCTTCCTTGTGCAGTATGTGAGTGCCTACTGTATACCACACATACTACATGGCACATGCACAGTTCCTGACCCTCGTGGAGCTTGCTGGTCCAAGGTGGGCAGTCAGCAGAGGGTAGAATGTAAACCAGGGTGCTGAGCCAGCACACCATGGGGGCCAACAAATGCGTACCTCTTCCTTAGGCTGAGAGCTTTAGGGGTGAGGTGGGAAGTCAAGAGATGTGAAGGGCCCCAGGGCTGAGAACAGCTGGGGAAGACTTGGAAGCAGTGTGGC